CGTTGCATAAAAATTACTTTTTCTTTCAAGTAAGCTTCAGTTCTTTAATAACAATACTAAAAAAATTATAGTTAATAGGTTTTGGTACTAAGCAGTCTTCCGAAAAATGAAGTTTTTTAATATCGATCCCGAAATACATGTAGGGCTTAGGCTCTATCTGCACTGCAGGGTATGTACTGTATGTGTGCTGTGTTGGGTGGGCGTGTGTGTAGTGGTGGTTGTGGCTCTGCGGTATTAGGCCTAGTTACGCACGTATAGATGGAGCCTTGCGAGGCAGGATTTAATGTTTTTTTCATGGCATTATGTACCAGTTCTTATAGGCTAGACATATATAAATGCTGACTTAAAACATGTAGTATGATTTACTAACTAAATTAAAATATATATATATTTTTAATTTTTCAGCAAACGTGTGAATCTTGCAAGTTGCTGTTACCTTGCTAGAATTCTATGTTCTTTGATGAGATATAATAAATCAGCCATAGCCTCTAACATACCAATGAACCAAGCAAAGCCTTGTTGACTGCTGCCAAGAACGCTTTACTAGCTAAATGCTAAATAAATAATATTTATAAATTTATATTTTAGGCCAACTGCAATGTGTAAACAAATGTAAAATTGTCAATTAAAAGTAAACAAATTGATGAAAATTGTTTGTTTTCTTCATTTTGTGTAATACTTTCATGTTGCACAGTGCGTTGTAAGGCGTCACAGCGCGTCGCTACAGGAGGCGATCGCTTCATGAAAAAAATCTCCCTATTTTTTGGTTTTCAAACTTGGGATCTCTGAATGGATAGTAAATGTGTATCAGCAGCACAAATAAGACAGTCGAAAATCGAAAATTTCACTCTTTATGAAAAAATTGGCAAAAGGCCAATTGTGCAATGCTACATATTATGAAACCAGGTCATTTGAAATTCTTGCCTCACTTCCATTCTCCTTTCTAAACCACTTGCATCCACTGCAGAGATCTTTTAAAGACCTTAAAACAACACATACAGCCATACACACTGGTACTCCTTTACAGCCATACACACTGGGACTCCTTTAGTAGTAGAGTCGATCATTAAATTTCAGTCACAAACTAAGCATACAGAACACCACAATCATAAAAACCTGGCCAATCATCACATAATCAGTCAGAGCTAGTGTGGACTTTGCTTACACTGTCCCTGTGCCATGTATCACAACGGGTGCAGGTCAACTCGGCCACAAGTCAACTCGGCCACAGTCAACTCGGCCACAAGTCAACTCGGCCACAAAAATTACGGCTTCTGCCAACTCGGCCACAAGTCAACTCGGCCATAAGTCAACTCGGCCACAAGTTATTTAATGTAAATCTAAGTTTTTGCATCCTTTTTCTTCAATATATGATTGAAATAAAGTACACAGTATGTTTTAGTAAAACAGGACCACATGTGTATAAGACCACACTACCAAAAGAGATTTGAATGCTATTGCCTATGAATTAAAAAGAGTTATTTATTAATGTGTTCGTCTTCTGTTTACTCACAACATTCTACTTCAACAATAATATTAAACAACAATAAATAAAACGGCAATAAATTAGTAATATTTACATACTAATTAGTCATTATGACGATAATAAATGTGATTATAACAACAACAACATTAATTATAGTAATATTTATTTTAACAAATAGTAGTAATACTAGTATGGTAATAATAACGATATTTAAATATCAATTTTAATAACTAATTAGTGATAATAACGATATTGAAGGTGATAATAGCAATAATAAATTAAAGATAATGTTTATTTTTATAATAATAGTAATACTAGTTAGTAATAATAATAATAATGATACTTATAATACTAGGCCTACTTAGTAATAATAGGGTAATAATATCAATAATAAAGGTGACAACAACAACAATAATATTAATAATAATAATAATATGAGAAAAATAATAATAAAACGCCAATAATAACTTTTTAAATTACTATTATTAAAATTATAATACTAAGACTAATAAATAATAATAATATGAATAATAATAAAAAATTGAAAAGTATTTATTATTTATACGGTACAATAAATATATGTACTATATATATGTAATAATAATATCAGCAAAAATTTGAACAATATATAATGTTAATGCTAAGACTAATAATATTAAAACTAACGGTAATAAAAACAACAATAATAATAACAACAATAACAATAATAACAGCAATAATAACAATTAACTAGTACAATGTTACCAGTAAATGACTTGTGGTCGAGTTGATTTGTGGCCGAGATGACATGTGGCCGAGTTGACTCGTGGCCGAGTTGACTGTAGCCAAACTTTTTGTGGCCGAGTTGACTTGTGGCCGAGTTAACTTGTGGCCGAGTTGACTGTGGCCGAGTTGACTTGTGGCCGAGTTGGATCAAATTCACCACAACAAGCTAACTCATGGCTAGTTGTGCCTTGCCTAGCCTCTAGCCCATGTCTTAGCTAGGACTTGTTTTGGTGCGTTATATTCATTAATTCATGCAAACATTCCATAACAAAACGTGTGTTAACATTTGTTGCAACTAGTAGGAGACTTTGATGATATGTCGATTATCAATAGAGGCTATGAATAGGCTAGGCCCAGCCCTATTTTCTTAGGCTAGCTAGGCCTATGCTAAGTAGAAGCTAGTTGGTGGGAGGGTCAAAACACCCTTCTAAACTAAAAAGACACGAATGATTAATTAGTATTGCAACAAAGCGATTTAAATGATGGTTCAGATACAAGACACACCGACTGCGTTAACATGAGATATATCACATTATTTTATAGTATAGTAAGTACATGTTAGCCACCCAATGGTACCTACTAAGGGCCTAGCTCGTTCATCATTTTGTATACAAACACTGAAGCCAATATCAAAATATGGGAGTATCCCATTCAATGGCGTACAGCGTCTCAGGTTAGCAGCGGGAGGTATATCTATCTACTTACTTTTAACCGTTCTTTCGGTCGTTGAATTCTTCATATCAGTGGTAGCCATAGTAAATGCCCTATAGCTTCCACTGAATAATTTTTATAATTCCGATGGCAGGCAAAAACACAGATGCTCTTAGATTTTTGCTGGATAATTACCAGGGTTCTCCTTTAAAAACAAATTCAAGATGGCGTGAACAGCAACAAATATTTAAAGAGGGCGCTATTGCATAAACTTTGACAGAGAGCCGTAGATAGAGAGAGTTTGGCCAACTTGGCGTATGGGCGCCATGTTGTCACCAAACAGCGTGCGCGCGTATTAGCTTTATAACATTTTATAAAACACTGATGCTGCATAAACTTTCTTTCATTATTCCGTTCATGAGGACAATTCAATTATGGGATTTTAACATATATTTGTAAATATCATATACTGTATAATCATATTTACCTAACTTTGGAATTAATTAATCAGTGACGTGCTGTATTATTTCGAGAAGATAAACTATACTAACTGAAATCGTATGCTTAATTACACACACCCTTTTTAATTGAACAACAAACTCTCAAAATTAATAATCCAACATCATCCTCACTTTGGTTTGCGTGTACAATGAAGAACGGGTAAAGAATAAAGACATCCAAACATTTGATTAAATGAATATCCATATGCAATATTAGTATCTATTTATTGCATATATTTAATTAGCCTATTGTTAATGAAATACTATCTAAATTAATTTTCCACACAACTTTGGTTTATATATATTGTATTAAATAGAATAAATTGCACACAAACAACTATGCTTACCTATAAATATAATGCACCGATCTCTCGTCGATACGCCAATCCTCCCTTTTGTTTACATGCTGTCTCTTATACACATCTAGATGTGTATAAGAGACAGGTACACACACGGTGGCTACAGTCAAACATCAGTTTAGCCGCTGTCTCTTATACACATCTAGATGTGTATAAGAGACAGCTTTTTTTCCATTGTTATTACAGCAGATAGGCCTTATGTGTGTTTACACAGGGCCGTCGGAACCGCACCGGCCGCACCGGCTTTGGGCTGACCACTTTTTCTCTATCCTATCACAGGTCTCCCTCCATACAACCAATTAAAAATCCTTTTTTGGGACCACGGTTTTTAGTGGTCTTTAGCAGCTTTGGTCTCTAATTTGAATCAATATAATTAAAGACCGGCTTTAAAAGTAGTCTCTAATATCTCTATTTAGAGGGGATCTAAGAAATGATATAGTAAATGTAAGATGTGTGAATGGGTGTAGGGCCTACAGTTACTGTAAGATGTTATTATTATTATTAATGCTAAAACTATTTCCCTGTAGTCCTGTGCATGGTGGTCTTTTGGTGTCGAACTCAGTCCCAATTTGGAAGAATCCACATCCGGGAGATCTGTTTAAATGAATTTTCTTATCACGACCAAATTTTGCTGTGCATGGTGATGCCATGCACAGCATTATGATTGGTACTACCTGCTGCGCAGACAATTGACATTACAGTTTCAAAACTTGTTAAAGCATGCAAATATCATCATGAATTTGCGGGAGATGGTTTATTTCGGGGAAAAATATGCTGGAGTTCTTCCTGCCAGTTTCTAGGAGACCCCTTTGCGAGACTCTACGGGAGACATGGAACTCATGGGTACTAAATGTGGTCTTCAGATTTCTCTATTTAGATGTAAATTAAAAAATAATACATTAAATGTTTTTAAATGGTTGTACAGTAACTGCATGCTCTTATTTATTCTTAATTAAACATTTCTTAGTAGCCAGACATCAACTTGTCTTTCCATTAAAATATTACTGACATTGCCACTAACATTTATCGTCATTCAATAGAAAAAGACGCTATACACAAAACAGTGCATTGGCTAATATATCTACGTGTAAGTAATATAGGCCTATAACACAATTTATTGTATTGCCGTGTACATTTCAAATTTATTTACAATCCTTAATTTCAATATTTAAGATTGATTTTGAAATTGTTTAGAGGTATAATACAAAATAACTATTATAACATTTTGGCAATGGTATAATGGCCAAGCTGGCCCTGATTAGGCCTACTTCCAATATAAAAAATTGTAACCCTTAAATTAAAAGTGAAGACATTAATTTTTCTAAAATTATGCATGTGCTATTTCCCGGCTGAGGAGCCATTTTTTTCAACTATGGTGGGAAAAAAAATGTGTTGCACCCTACCACCCACCCATGCCCACTCATATTAAAATGGCCGGACACACTTGCAAAATGCTTCCGACGGCTATGATACATACATAAACAAAATTGAGTAGTTGCATACGATTTGTTTTTTCCATGAATCCATAAATCCCAAAAAGAAAGGGGGGTTGGGGGGTCCTCCCCCGGGAAAATTTTTATTCCTAGAAGGCGGGAAATGAGCTTTTCCGACTTCTGAAGTGTCTTTTAATTACCTTCAAGTTCTTCAAAATTCAAGGCTTTCCCCTCTTGAAAATTATTATAATGAATCAATGAACTCAAAGAGAAAATGGAGGTTCGGGTTCTTCCCGGGAAAGTGTTGATTAAATGGTGGGAAATGAGCTTTCCCAACTTCTCAAGTAGCTAGGTTTTAGCTGGGTGTCTAATGACTTTGTTCTCCAAAATTCAAGGTTTCCTCTCTTGAAAACGGTCAGGTAAATTTTTCCACTTGTTATTACAGTAAATAGGCCTTATGTGTGTATACATACATATAAAAAATATTGAGTAGTTGCATATAATTTTTTTTTTTCATAAATCGATAAATCCCAAATAGAAAGGGGGTCCGGAGGCTCTCCGCCGGGAAAATTTTGATTCCATAAGACGGGAAATGAGCTTTCCCGACTTCTGAGGTGTCTTTTAATTACTTTTAATTTCTTCAAAAAATTAAAGGTTTTTCACCTCTTGAAAATAATTCAATGAATCAATGAACCCCAAAGAAAAAGGTGTCGGGGTTCCCCCGAAAAAAATTTGATTCCTAGAAGGCGGGAAATGGGCTTTCCCGACTTCTGAAGTGTCTTTTAATTACTTTAAATTTCTTCAAAATTCAAGATTTCCCCCTCTTGAAAATGATTCAATGAATCGATGAACCCCCCCCCCCCACAAAAATGGGTTCCGGGTTCCCCGGGAAAATTTCGATTTCTAGAATGCGGGAAATAAGCTTTCCTGACTTCGGAAATGTCTTTTAAATGACTTTTTAA